AGGATAAATTGTGTATTTTTTTAGTATAAGACCGCAGAATATAATCAGAAAAAAGATATGACCTACAAAAATCTATGAGGTGTACATACGAGGTAAGATAATGCTGTGTATTGCTATTGCTTATTATTATCAGCCTAAATAAGATATATCTCACTTATCGCTATACGTTTAAAAATAACACCATACTTGAATTAAATAAAGTTATAAGCGATAAGTATAGTTTCTTTGTTAAATAAAATAACCTTTGTCCTGTGTGAAAAGTTATTAGAAAAAGAATAAAAATTAAGAGCCTTATACAGAAATAGTTAGATTGATTAGATTAGCGTTAGCGTTAGTAATTAATGACATATTATAGTAAAATTAGAAATAACCCGATTCAATTTTTCCTACTGCATAACGATAATAGCTATCCTTTTTTAGACAAAGTTATGTTTGTTTTCGAGAGGTGGTTTATTTAACAAGCCATAAATATTTGTACATCCACAATAATTTTTTCAAATTTTCGATGTTCTACGTATTCGATATTGGAAGTTCGATTAACATATGATTTATACACAAAAATTCAATCACGATTTTTTAGACTGAATATTACTGAATATTCGAAACTCAATAAATACAATAAACATTTGATATTTCATCTACATATTCTAATAGCACTTCAATAGCACTTCAGATACGAAGCATCCTCCTTTCAGGAGACAGTAGCTTAACAGTAGTTGATGACTTTTAATACATAAGAATCATTGTACGTACGTAAAAAAAAATTTATTAACATTACTGTATAAGATACAATTAAAGTAAACGGTATTATAAGTCATATGAAATTAAGTATATAGTTTGTGTCACTTTCCTGCAGAATCATTTCTCACAGTAAATTTTTGATTTATAACGAATATTATGAATTTCTGGAAAGGCTTTTCCTTTTATATACAATTCTACGATAAGAAAAAACACGAATGGAACTTAAAAAGGCTATAAAGGTAATGAGTATAATGTTCTTTATCAGTAGTTTTGTTAAAATTTATATGTTATAAGAATTTTGAATTCTCAGATCGATGAGATCGTTGACTTTTTTTATATCGCAGGAGAGATCGTCAATTATAAGAGGTTTAATTTCACTAGAAAAATGGCAAAATACATTCAGTGTTTAGAACCTATAACCGAGCAGAGTTGCTTTATTAAGTGTGGCATGGTATTGTGTTAGGGTAACGTAATTATTTTTTTTCAGATCTAGATCCGAAAGATTATAAATCGTAAATTCGCCTCTTATTTCAGAAGCAATAGTACTGTATGTTGTACCTGGGTCTGTTATATAATACAAAATAAGGCAATATAAAATTGGCGAGTTTTTATCTTGTAAGGTGAGTTACCAGTAACATTTTTTTTTCTGCTCATATTTATTTTTACTTGATCCATTTGCTCATAATTTATTTTTAATGTGCTATTTCATTTAACGCAAACTGTAAAAATGAATTTTTACTTACTATAATTTTTTATATTTAGGAACGAAAAATGAGCAGTAATAAAAAAACCACTCCCAAGACCAACATTAGTAACACCCCCAAGACTAATAATAGTAATGCCTCCAAGACCAACAGTAATAACACCCCCAAGACTAATAATAGTAACGCCTCCAAGACCAACAGTAATATTACCTCCAAAACCAACGATAATAATACCTCCAATATCAACAAAAGTGACGCCCCTAAAACCAATGATAGTAACATCTCCAAGACCAACGAAAGTTGTGATAAGTAAAATTCTGTTTACTTTTTTCATACACCTAAAGTTTAAAAAATCATTAAATCTATTAATTGAACCAGGTTATTCAAATTATGATGAATATGATGACTATTATGAACAAGATCTTGAGGAGATAAGAAATCCCTTTTACAATAATGTGCAATGGTGTTTATCGTATTCTGATTCAATTAAAGGATTATCCAATGAAGGACCTTTTGGTTGTGACGATTAATAAAATTATATAATAGTGATATGTTATATAATAAAAATATTTTTTAGTTATATATTGTTGTTCGGCAATAATTTTTTATGAAATAAAGAGGGGTCCTATGGGCTCGCCATTTTAATGCAATCGTGTAAATAAGTATTATTTATATCATTATTTCGATTCCACCCATAACTTTATTAATTTAGAAAATCTGGATACGCGTATCCAGGCACAGTAAATATTGTGAAGGATAGTCGTTAACCATGAATAGGTAAAGCCCAGTTTTTGACTCAAATTGTATGATCAAAAATTACACAAAAAAATTCTCGATTTAGTTTTAAAAATGAACCAAAAATGATTCATGATAATATCACGTTATTATAGCTTTTTACTATCTTAAAAATAATGAAATTTAATACAAATTTATAGACGATATGATAGCATTTACAATCTTAAATTAGCCTATTGTATAACCTCATGTCATTTTACACTTGTCCTACTACAAGATATCAGAACGTACAATACAAATCAACTATAGCTTTTCTACTATATATTCTTATATGCATTGTCTCTTGTTTGTTCGATCTCGATCCTTTAACATCCAAATAATTTTACCAAGAACCGTTTTAATTCCCTTCCTCAAATCCTCATCATTATTTAACTGTGTTGTTACCAAAGGTATATAATCGGATGCTTGACTACAGAAAATTTGATCAGGAGTATGCTTCAAAAAATACCAATCAGTGCTGGTTGATACAATTCCGTAGATATATTCTGAATACACCTGATCCGAGTACAACTCATCAAGCTTACGCTTTTTATTTTTGTTTAAATCTAATGAACCTTCAAGTTGCATTAAGTTTTGAGCAACACCTACTTTTATATCAATTTGCTTCGCTTCAGTGACGCAGATAATTTCTTCAAACCCACTACCTATTAATTGCGGATAAATTTTCTTTATAGCATAATCTACTCTGCCAGCAGATACATCTCCAATAATCTCAAACTGTGAACGAAGGATGGTGTTTGGAACTGAATTTACTGCTGAGACTAATATCGACGTAATAAAGTGGCTTCACTGTGCTTCGTTCTGATCACCCACATTGCCAATCGCTGACAATCTAGCCTATAATATTAAGTAATGAATCAATACATTCAACATACATACAATGGTGTGAAGAAAATATTGTAACTCAAATCTTTATTTCCTTTACACAATCCTCAAATACTTCCTTATAATTTTCTTCATTTTCACAATTAGGAAAAAACACATATGGGTTGATTCAAGGAATTGCTGATATCTCTTGATCTACTAGTCCGTTTTGGATGATTTAACTACCAAAATGTTCGTCTTAATGAGACGATTCTAACGAGTATAAAAACGTTAAAATCCAATCACAGGATCCTGAGATCATTCAAGTTTTGTGCGATTTTAATCAAAATTTTACTATGTAGACAATCAACTTAGAAATGGGTTGCCTATATAAATTTATATAGACAATCCATTTCTAAGTTGATTGTCTACATAGTAAAATTTTGATTAAAATCGAACAAAACTTGTATGATCTCAGGATCCTGTGATTGGATTTTAACGTTATTATACTCGTTAGAATCGTCTTATTAAGATGAACATTTTGGTAGTTAAATCATCCAAAACGGACAAGTAGATCAAAAGATATCAGCAATTCCTTAAATCAGCTCATATGACTGGTATACTACGCACTTCATCATTGTCGATTCCATGTTTTTGGAGAACCTCTCGCAAATTTTTATAACTGGAGAAGTACTTCTTATCTAACGTAACGATAAATTCGATATTTTTTTTCGTCTTGAATATAGATCTCATGGTAACATCATTGCTTAAAATGGATTTATTGTATTTGATCACAATTTCATCATGTGTCGTTGTCAGAAACTTAAATTCTTTTTGTGCGTGATCTTGCAATAGTTTCAAAGTTAGTTCTGTCAACAAATAATATGTTATCGTTACTATTCGGTCTCTCCTATTGCACTCTACTGTTTCGTTTTCTTTTACTCGATATTTGAAAGTTACATTGCAAGTTTTTGGTCCTAAAAATTAATATACGTTAAGCAAATATACAATTTGCAAGTTATTCTACGACATCTTCGCATGAAACACTTACTCAATACCTCAAAAAATTTTGTGATTCTTGTTGCCAGCCCCCTTTTAATCCATAGTCTCTAAGTTCTTCTTTAGTTAATTCGAAAAATTCTTGGCCAGATATTCTGTGTTCTTCAATTATTTGAAAATCTTTATCTATAAGAAACAACTCATCTTTTTTTGACTTTAATAAACTGATTACTTGTGATGGACTCCATTTCTCAAGGTTTTCGTGAGTAGGCATTTTATTATTAAAGTAAAAAATAATCACAATAGCCGTGGGTATTTATAAAAAAATCTGCTGCACGAGGATCTACACATTGCGGGTTTGATTGGTTAAAAAAACTTTTCATGCAGAGGCGTGACATCGATATTACTGTATTACGTAGTAAGATTTTATTTATTGATTAGTCAGACTCAAAGTTTCGTTTCTTCTCTTAGAAAGTTGTTACACTCACATCGCTTATATATTCTATTCGCTACTTTTTTACACGTTTTACAATATAGGTGTGAATGGTGATTGCATTTGTCACAAACCTTACACCCGTGCTTCCACTCTCTAAAGATATGCCACTTTTCAAAGTGATTTTGTTTTTCTTTATATGCAGGTGTGTTATTCCGATTTTCTATCGTTATATATTACTGTATTAACAGAAAAAATAATAAATACGTGGCTAAATTTTTTATATACAAACCCATAATAAGTGGTATTTATGTTTGTGACTCGTTTCCAAACAAACTATACAGTGATAAGCCTCATAACAATAAGGCCAAACCTCTATATATGACATTTCGAATTTATTACCAATTTAATATATATTGATATTACAGAAAAAACGTTAACTTTATTCTGAAGTAGCAAAGCCACGAATTACAATTTATATGAACTTGTGTGTGGGTAGGGCGTTTATAAACTGCAAGAAAATCTAAATTTATGAAAAAAATGTAATATAGACTGTGATCTCGAGGACACAGTATCACATAACAATGGCACAGTAATAACCGATCATTTTGATTTATTTATAATGCTAAGTATTACATGATTGATATTTTCCTTACTTAACTTAGAAATTGTTAACGCTGTAAAAGATCTAACTCGTACCATTTTATTTTCACCAATGGTATCAAAAAGTTTGTAAATTTTTCGTGCTCGTTCTGTTTTCTTTCTAAGTGTATCATCACTAACCTCTTTGAAAATTTGATTTCTAACTTCGTCATTTACTAGAATTTTGGCAACTTGCTTTTTGTGAGATTTCTTGTAGTATTCTACACGTTTCATAAGATTTAATCCAAAATTATAATATCTTTTAATAACTTCTTGGTTCGATTTTCTATTATCATCTTCAGCACTAATAAGTTCTTTATATAAGTTGAGAAAATTAACTGGATCAGAATCATTTTCAGTAGTTGGTATCACTACTGATTGTGTAAAAATATTATTTTTTGCAGAATTTGGATCTTTAGTAGATAATTCATCTATTAATTTTTTTAGATTTGGAGGCTCTTTTTTTGCACTTTCTTCATGTAATCTTTTTTTAGATTTAGGCTTTTTGTTTTTGATAAGGTCTACATAATTTGAATATAATGTTAGGTCATATGATAAGGTAGGGTTAAAAATAAGAGATGTATATGGAGTTACTATATTCTGGTTTTGACTAGATGTCATTTGTGGTGAAATTTGCATTGGGTCTGAGGTATTCTGTGCCTGATCCTGTGAACTAGGTTCAGAAGTACTAGAATAACGCGCATAACCAATAGATTCAATTTCCATTGCACATTCAGGGCATTGTGGGAGATCTTTTACATAATCTTCAAGACAACTACGGTGGTATATATGTTCACAGATGAGTATGGTAAATGGTTTTTTAAGTTCATACAAAAAAAGCTCTTCTTTACACTTTGAGCATGGATCTAGTTCTGGAACTTCAACACCTTTTGTAATAACTTCTAGAACACCGTTTTTAAGGATATTTAAAGCAAGGTTTTTAAGACATGAAACATTTTTAGGTGTTGGGTTAGTAGACATATCCAAGAATAAAATTTTTTATAGTTGAGAGTTAGAATATGGTATAAAGGGTTATAGACAGATAAGTATTGCAGTTAATTATATACTTAGCTCATTTTTATATATTAAATGTTTTAGAGACTAACAAATCTAATTTGCAAATTTTATAAAATCTCATTTCGGATTTGGCGATCTATTCATTCAGAACTAATTAGTATGGGGGAATTGCTTGATCTTTGCTAGCAATCGTAGATAAATAATTTAGCTTAAGGGTAGACCCAAAGAGTCATTGCTCTGCAATAAGTGCGGTTAGTGAGTTGGTTAGTACTAAAATACTTCTATGCTGATCTCTGATTCGTGGATTTAGGCTCGAAGAGCCATTTCTTTGAAATAAAACACATGATATCGCTCCCTTGAGGCCCATTATAATATGATGTAATTTACTTTATTTTGTAGCTATATATAAGATCATCAAGCTAGATAATTAATTTTATTTTTTACTTTATGCTTTCGAATAAGGCATTTCTTTACTACTCTAGTCTTATGCACATGTGTAACTTCTATTTCTGAACTAGATATGGAAGAATTACTTGAATTGCTATCTGAAGTGTCTGAATTAGAAAAAGCATCTGTGGAATATTTGACATTATTTTTCTTACTCTTATTTTTGGAAACATCATCATTTAATCTTCTGAATGGTAGATGTGTAGAAGGTATGTTGCAAAGCAATAACTCTTTGAGTCTATCTCCAATATTTAGAGAATTTTGTTAATTATATTCATAACCTTCTCTTGAGCTAGACCAGGTTTAGATTCTGTTGATTTAGATAAATTATTTTTATTGCATATTAATAAATAATTTAACATAGACAATGACTGAAAATAGTAATATTGAATTAGTGTTAAAGCAATAAAATGTGATTGATTTATGTTCAGAATGTCCAATTATCACTTATGAGATTGCGAAAAAATTAGGTTTCAAAAAAGATAAAAGTTTATCTAATATTACCGATAAAGTGGTATCTGATATTGTTAAGCAAGTATCAGGTAAAAAAATCTAGATTTCTCTCTGCCAATTACTGGAGATAGTGAAACCTGAGATTCAGCAGGATATTATAAACTCAATAGCAAATCCAGATATTTCTCAAAGAAATTGTACACTATCTGAGACTAAAAGAAAAAAAACATTTTTTAACGATACCACATCTGAGTCCTCGTCTGAATCTGAATCTGGGTCTGGCTTTGAATCCTTTTATGATAATGAAGATTTTACTGTAGATATAGTAAAAGTGGAGAAGTGCAATTAATCTTGATCATAGATATGAAATCGTCTTGCTTGCTCATAAGGAACTCCTCTTTTTTTATAATTGACTACAACATAATTTTGCACAGGAGAAGTATGATTATCAGATGAATGACGTAGACATTCTCTAGCAATTGTATAAGCATGGGCTATATTCTTAGCCTTATGTGCTACTGCACCATAAACTGCTCCTAATTTATGTAAATATTTAGGAATTAAATCATAATCTTTTAAGAATTTATTAAACCATTTAACTCCTGGCTTACTTGGATCACCCATTCGTCCAGATGATATAGCATGCTGAATCCAAGTGAGTAGTTCTTTGGCTTGTTCTTAATTCTTTTTCATCGATCTAAATTTTCTGAAAATATCTGGCTGATCTCGATTCTTCGCATATTCTGTCACTCTAGCATCTGTAATGCATAAAGTTTTAAGTTCAGCAGGACGAATACAAAGCATCACCATAACATCAGCAAGAGCCTGACAATCAGGTAAAGTTTTAATATTATACACATCTAATCTTTTTTTGACTGATTCTAATGTAAATTCATCTAGATAATCGATACTGTTACGAGCAGTTCTTTATTAATCTGCAAATTTTTAGGTAGCAGAAGGTTTTTCATAGTTATTATTTAAGGCACCAGTTTATTTATTGGTAAACAAACAAAACCAAAATCAATAAAATCAAAAATAAAAGAAAAGAAAACATTATTTCCAATAACAAAAACTAAAGAAACCAAAAATAATAAAGAAAAATTATAAAGAAACGAAGTGCAAGAGTTTGCCTAAGAGAAGACTAAAGATATTAAAATATTGTTTATTGTTAAGAACTAGAGGGCAGTTGTTATTTAGAGAAGTTATTATTATTTATCTTGCTTTAGAAACTATTATTATTTTAATTCACAACAATATGTCGAGTCAAGGGAGAAAAGGCCTGTATTTATAACCTTTGGCTGCTAAGAATTAGTCATCTGTGTTGGTGTTCACAGTGTTTGAGTGAACCAATAGTTATTTTTAGCTATGGTGTTCATGGTGTTAAAGGTGGTGTTCATGGTGCTTCTCGTGTAATGTCAAGGTGACGCATATTACTAATTATTGATTAATAATACCTAGAAAATTCTAAAAGGTTTCAGAATATTCCGTAAGATTCCAGAAGTTGCTACGTGATTCCAAGATATTCCAGGACATTCTAAAACATTCTATAACATTCTAGACTATTCTACAATTTTCTGTGTAATATAAACAAAAACTATAACTAATCATTATACAAAACTACAATTTCATTTATTTTATTTATTTATTTTACTTATTTATTTTTTATTATTTTCTACATTTAGTTTAGTTTACTGATTATCTTTTATTTTATATTTTATCTTCTATATTATTCTTATTTTATTTTATATTTTTATTATCTTTCATTGGACATAATGATAAAGCTAGATGATTATGACAGCCATGTACGAGTGATGGGGCACATGACACTTTTATTTATATTATTATTTCCCTTATTTAGAAATTATTTATCATAGATCTGATAATCAACACTGTTAGGAACTAAAGCTGTATGAGAAAACTTAATGAACAATCAAAGCTCTATGGACCATATGATAAAATGTGAAGAAAAAGGAAAATCTTGCTTAAAAATTTTAGAAGTTTTTAGAAGGTTATGGAAAGTTAAACACCACAATTACAAATCTTGAAAAGTTGTAGAAAAATTTAGAAATTTAAAGAATTGTTTAATGATAAGGAATCAATTCTTTATAAAAGGAGTCAAAGT